GATTCTCCCCCAAACTGATGTCTGTTCTCTCTCTCTCTTTCCTTCCTTCCTTCCTTCTTTCTTTCTTTGAGAGAGGGGCAGAAGGGGCAGAGGGAGAGAGAGAATCCCAAGCAGGGAGCCTGACGCGGGGTTCCATCTCACATGACCTCGAGATAATGACCTGAGCCAAAACCAAGAGTTGGACACATAAGTGAGCCACCCAGGTGCCCCTCAAGCTGATGTCTGATGTGCACAATAGGGCATGGGAAGCATTTATGTGTGGTGTCAAGCAGGAGGTTGGGAAAGGACGTGAATAATCACACATAACTTTTTTGCTTCTGTTACACTGATACCCATGTTCAACTTTTCTTCTAGTGCCCTGGAAAGGAGCCTGCAAAATAATCTTTGGCTTCTCCTTTCTTTCACTGTTGTGCACTGTGGTTGTAAAAAATTTTTAAAAGCCTATAGAATTTAGACAGATTTGAGTTTGAGTAATAATTGTGCCACTTACTACCACTTGTACTAGTTACTTAACAACTTTTTAAAACTTGAAGTTAAAATTTTTTTCTTTTATCAAAGTAATACAGATTTTTAAAATTCAAATGGTATTTCTAGATTTATTTTTTTAGATTTATTTTAAAAAATAGCAATTGCCCATACCAAGCATTCCCATTTTCAATTCCTTCCTCTAACTTAACTCTTAGCTATTTTTATTTTTTTATTTTTAAAAAAATTTACTCTCATATTTCTTTTATTTAAAGATTTTATTTATTTATTTGACAGAGAGAGCACCAGCAGGGGTGGGGAAAGAGGGAGAAGCAGGCTCCCCACTGAGCGGGGAGTCTGTGGGACTTGATCCCAGGACCCCAGGATCATGACCTGAGCTGAAGGTGGATGTTTAACCAACTGAGTCACCCAGGCGCCCCTACTCTTATATTTCTTAAAAAAGAGTCTCTAATGCTATGTCTGTCTTTTTCACTTGCATATATTGTCTATGGACTGCCCAGCTCTAGTGGATGAAGATTTAGCTCTTCCATTGGATTTCCTACACACACACTCTTATGAACACATATGTTTACCTCCCATTTTTTCAAAAAGTAATTAGAGTATTCATTTATATTAAATTACCATTCTGTATTTACCTTATTAAAACTATGTAATTATTCATAGCTGAAGCATATGCTGTGATTACATTTTCTTTTTTGTACAGTTTTTTGTCTTTACTGGATTCAACAATTGCCTAATTTATTTGCTTGTTGACTTTTCTATGTACCTATTGCTTACCATCACCAAACTCCAAAGATCTTCTTTAAAAATATTCAGACACATCAGATATTCCATGGGGCTCACCTTCCAGGAACTATGTCTCTGGGAGGCCTCCTGCTCCAAATTAAATGGTCTCTAGCTAGGACTCCTCCCCTCTCTCCTCACTTGGATTCCCTGCTACCCAAGCCCTAAATATTCCTCTTTCCTGACTTCTTAGTTTTGGAGAGTATCCTTCAGCAGGTTTCTGAATAAAGTATTTGGTAGATAATATTTTTGAGCTGCATACCTCAATATATCTTTATTCTACCCTCACACTTAACTAATATTTTGATTGAGAGAATTCCACTTTAGAATTATTTTCTTCAGAATTTTGAAGTTAAATCTCCATTGAATTTCAACTTCCTGGGATTCCGTTGAGAAGTCCCATGCCCTTCTGAATTCCAAAACTTTAAATGTGACCTTTTTATTTTTCCCTATGGAAATGTTTAAGATCTTTTCTTTAACCCTGGTGTCCTGAAATCTCATGATGTGCCTTAGTGTGGATCATTTTAGGTTCATTGTGCTGGGCATTTGGCAGCACTTTTCTTTCTTTCTTTCTTTCTTTTTTTTCTTTTTCTTCTTTCTTTCTCTTTTTTTCTTTCTTTCTTCTTTCTTTTTCTTTCTTTCTTTCTCTTTCTTCCTTTCTTTCTTTTTCTTTCTCTTCCTTCCTTCCTTCCTTTCTTTCTTTCCTTCTTTCTTTCTCTTTCTTTCTTTCTTTCTTTCTTTTTCTTTCTTTTTCTTTCTTTCTCTCTTTCTTTCTCTTTCTTTCTTTCTCTCTTTCTTTCTTTCTTTCTTATTATGTTCAATTAGCCAGCATATAGTACATCATTAGTTTTTGAGGTAGTGTTCAACGATTCATTAGTTGTGTAGAACACTCAGTGCTCATCACCACACATTCCCTTCTTAATACCCATCACCCGGTTACCCCCTTCCCCTGAAACCCTCAGTTTGGTTCCCGGAGTCCACTGGCGCTCATCTCCACACGTGCCCTCCTTATTGCCCATCACCCAGTTACCCGTCCCTGCACCCCCTCCCTTCTGTGACCCTCAGTTTGGTTCCCGGAGTCCACTGGCAACCTTTTCAATCTGAGAACATGTCTCTTAGGTCTGGGAAGTTTTCTTGAATTGCTTGTTGAGTAATTTCTTCTTCATTTTCTCTGTTCTCTTTCTTGTGATTCCTATTTTTCACATGTCAAACTTTAATCTTCTAATTTTCTTATGTTTTATCTTTCTCCATCTCTTATTCCTTTTGTTCTAATATCTGAGAGGCACCATCAGATTTATATTTTAACTTTATTTTTTTTAAAGATTTTATTTATTTATTTGACAGAGAGACACAGCAAGAGAGGGAACACAAGCAGGGGGAGTGGCAGAGGGATAAGCAGGCTTCCCAGTGAGCAGGGAGCCTGATGTGAGGCTCCATCCCAGGACCCTGGGATCACGACCTGAGCCGAAGGCAGACACTTAACAACTGAGCCACCCAGGCGCCCCTATACTTTAACTTTAAACACTTTTTAAGTTTATCATTTCTTGTATAATTTTCAAGAGCTCTTATTTTTGGAATGTTCTTTTATATACCACTCTCTGTTTCTCTGATGAATATATTATCTTCAGAGACTGCAGATAATGTTTTTAATGTTTTTTCCCCCTAGTTTGTTTTCTCCTTTGTTTCTGTCTTCCTCAAATGTCTGTTGATCCTTAGTCATGTGTATCTATTTAGGAGGGAGGCAGAGATGCTTATTGAAAGCTCTATGAGGTAGATAAGACTGCCAAGTGGTGGTACTCACCCAAGCAGTCAGGGAGGGCTTTTGTTTGGCCTGTTGCCCTCTGCCTCCTCAGTGGGCTCTGCACAGCCTGGAAGTGGTGTCCCTGCCTGCCCCTTGCACCGCCTCAGCTCCGACCTCCATTTGTTTCCTAGGTGCTCCTTCTGCCTGCAAGACCTTCCTCTCTAATTGTCTGAGATCCCACTTCCTTCCAGGCTCAGTTCACACGTTAGCTCCTTGCTACCTTCTTCGTCCAATGCTATAGACTTTACATGGTTTCACTTGTTTCCTAATAATGTATGTTAATCTTTCTTGCCTACCGCAACGTGTGCTCCTTAAGATTAGAGACCACTTCACATCCTTCTTGGTGTGGTACCCAACCAGCAGTAGGTGCTGAGCACTGTTGATTTTACTCAAATAAATAAATAATAAATAAATAAATAAAGTCAACAGGAAAGGAGAGCTTTGTATGCTGAGCAGAAAGACTCCTTCCCAAAACTATGTGTGTGCTGTCACTTCAACTTGGTAATGCTTTCTGAGTGCTTGACCTGTCAAGTGCTTTGCAAGAGATTCTGAAGAGAACACTATTTGGTCATTTTACTTCAACTGAAGCCTCTCGCTCCCTGGTGCTTACAGCAACTCTACTGAGATATGTTGTGTGTACAGACAGGTTTTGAGATGCAGCTTAAATAAATTGGTATTATTAGTAATTTTACTTTGTCAGTAATTTACTTAAAAGTAGATTGGTTTAAAGCCTATTCTTCTGCCATCACACTTGGCTACCAGTGAGGGCAAAGGGTGTCGCTGCAGCTAGAGGACCAGGTGGTGGGTACAGTCTGGACTGCCTGATATCTGAGCCTAAGGGTGCATGTCCTGAACGTGAACTTCACCGACCTGAAAGCAGTTTCAGAAATAAAGTCGATATGGTGGCTTACAAGCAGAGTCCAAGCTCGTTAACATGAGACGGAGACACTGCATGACCAGGTGCTCCTGCTCACCATCCAGTTTTATCTGCCACCACTTCCTCACGACTACATTACAGTCACCGAAATTTCTCCAAAGCCTCATGCTTTTGCACCTGTCCTTGCTCATCCCAGCTATCGCGCACTCCATTCAGACTGGAAAACCTGCCCAGTAAAAAAACGTGGACTGGAGGGTAATTATGATCATCATCACAGCAGCAATACCAACAAATGGCCAAAACGTGCGAAGTGCTTACTACGGGCCAAGCGCTCTGCGATAGCCTTTCTAAGCACTGCCTGGGAAGTCCCGTTACTGTCCCACCTTCCAGGTGAGGAAGCGGAGGGTACATTAAGAAACTTGCCCGGGGTCACACACCCCATTCCGTATTCCCACCACCTCTCCGCATGCCTCCCACGGAAATGGGCACATTCAGAGATGGTAACGGTCGCTACCCCACTTCCATTTTAGGAAAGCTAACCGCAAGAAATCCGAGGAGGACTTTCGTTTACATGAAAAAAGCCATGACCGCACGAAGGCAGGGCTTCGCCTTGCGCCGTTCGGGCTTCGGAGGGCTCCGCAGAGCGCTCCGCTCTCGGACAGCGCGGGAACGGCCCACAGCCCTCCGGGACGGCCGCGCTTCAGGCGAGCCTGGCCCTCTCCCGAGCCGGCCGCGGCGCTCCCCTGGGCCTCCGAAAAACCGGCTCCGGGGGCTCCGGGCCACCGTCGGCCCCCACACGCCCGCGGGCGAACAAGCCCGGGCCAGCCGCCCGCGCAGCGCCCCCGGGGAGGAGGGCCAGGAGGGTCAGGAGGCTGCGCCCCGCCGACGCCCACCGGAGGCCCGGGGACCGCGCGCCCCCGACCTCGCAAGCACCGCGCGATCTCCGAGGCAACGGGCGCGGCGCCTGCGCAGCTCGCTTCCCCGGCGCCTCGGGGCCCGACGACGCAGGCCCCGCCCCCCGCGCGGGGCGGTCCCGCGAGCGGAAGCGTTCGGAGCGGAAGCGGAAGTGCGCAGACGGCTGCGGCTGGGCCGAGGGCGGTGCGGGCGCGTCTCTGGCTGTGCTGGCGCATCTCTAGGTAGGGCCGGGCCTGGGGGACCAGCGCCGTCGGGGGCCGCTCTCGGCTTTGCCGGGCTCGGCTCGGCTCGGCTCGGCTCGCTGCGCTCGCGGGTCTGCGCCGCCGCGGGTCCCTGGGCCCGGGTCCGAGCCGTCCGCGGCCCTGCCCGCCCGCAGCCCCGCCGCCCCGCTCCGGGCACCTGGGACACTCGCCGCCCTCCGCCCTTCCCCTCCTGGCCCTCCGTCCCTGTCAGCTCACTCCCTGGCCGCCGGGCGCCCACAGCTCTGCGCCTCGCTTCCTCCTCTGGCGTCATCTTGAGCCGACCCTCCCCTCCCGAGGCGGTGCCAGTTCCGGGGCCGCTCCTCCCGGCTGCCCGGCCGCACAGCTGGAGTGCTCGTCCCCGAGGAGGCGTCCTCTCACCTCAGCACTCGCGGCTCAGAACTTGTGTGCCTTTCCCCCCAGCCGTCCCTGGGCTGTCCTGAGCCGGGGCTCCGGGGCCCTTGCGGAAAGGAGAAGACGGGGTTCGCTGGCGGCAGGGACCTTAGACCAGTGGAGGGGGAGCGGAGAGGTCGGGGGGTCCGGGAAGTTTCTGGGCAGGAGGGGGGATGTGAGCGGACTTTTAGAGAAGCAGGAGTTGGGAGGTGGAGGGGGGGCAAGAGGCCGTTCGTTCCTGCCGAGGAAACCGTGTTTGAGACCGTCGGAGGAAGTGGAGAAAAGACACATTGCTTAGAGATGGGGAAGGGCAGGAAGCTGTACAGAGTTTGGGGCCAGGAGGTGATTGGATCTTACCGTGAAGAGCGCCTGGCAGGTGTAGGATGGTGGCGTGGGGTCAGTCTGTCTGTAGGTCATGAGCAGAGGGCTTTTGCAGTCCTGCAGGAAAGAAGTTTTAGAACTGGAAACCCGAATATAGTAGTGGAGAGAACTGGGAAAGACAGGAGATGTTGGTATTTCTGATGACTTGCAGATTTTTGGCTTGAGCATTTGAGGAAATGATTGTGAGAGTGAGAAAAGCTTGGGGAACAAGTCTGCAGCATCAGGTTCCTGACCGATCACGCATGCCGTGTGTTGTTTGGTCTGCAGCAGTATTCCACAGTTTTGTTTTCTCACGGGGCCTCACGTCTTCCGTGCTCTTTGACCCGTGCATGCGTAGACCTGGCTGCTAGGGGCTCCCCTCTCTGCAGCAGCACAGCCTGCGCCCACTCTCTGTGTTCTGGTTTCCTCACCGCCCCATCTCTTGCCATCCCTAAGCTCTGCCATAGTGGTTTTCCCCACCCTTGTTCCTGTCGTCTCTGAATGCCACTTGTGCTCCCCTTACTAGTTGTGTTCGTGGAGAGCGCCGACAAGACCTTCGCTGGGCCAGGCCTCTCCCTGCTCACCTCTCCGTACGTACTATCTCTTGACCATCTTCTCACTTCGTGTCATTTTCAGCTACCTAATCTTGCAGACATACGGAGATCTCTAATCACTTCTGGCCAGCTCTGTTCTCATCTGTAAAGGGACAAGACAGCAGTAGGTGACATCTGAGGGCACTTGTAGGTGTTCATATTCTGAGGTTCTGCCCCATCCTTGAACCTTAATCTGGGTGTCATTTATGGGGTAGATTTACTGTAAAGCTAATGAAGATCGGGCGTCAGGGTCCTTCCCTCTCATGAACCCCTTCCAAGGCACTGGGAAAGACCTCAGAGGTCTTCTGTTCATAATTTTGTATTTTTTGAAAAGAAGGATCTCAAATGTGTAGATTTGAGGCCTTACACAACTTGGATCCCTATGAAACTGGCCATTTATCTCATCCTGCTGTCTTTGTATTTGCACTCTTGTTCTTCAGACCTACCCCTTCATGTGTGTGTTCATTATTGAGGCTTGGAGGGGAAATAGGAACGAGTGGAGCTGACCAAGTTTCTGCTGTAACCTGGCTTTAGTTTGCCCTCAGGGACAGAGATGCCACAGATTGACATCTCAGTGCATTTGGCAGAACCTTTGCAACAGTGTATGTATTGATTTATTTCACTGCTGGGTTCCTACCTCTTTCAAGAAAAGGTTAATGGTAAGAGGGAAAAGACCACTTAATTGAGGTCATAAAAGCAGCTCTTAATCGCCATAGAAGCTAGAGCTGTACACTAGAAAATCAGAGGAATTCATTGCATGCTTTCTTTTATTAGTTTGAAAATGAGGCAACCCTAATGCCATCAGTTATTTTTATAAAGCTTTATAACAGGTATAAATTTATTTTAATTTGCTTTCAGATGTCTGTTTCTTTGTAAGGTGTTGTGTTGGAAAAATTTTCAGAGACTAAAAACATGTTATTTAAGGTTTAAGTTATTTATGTAAAGTAAGATATTTTTAAAGGATTTTGTAGTAGTAGTTTAAAATCTACCAAACTGAGAGGCAGATCATCATTTAAGTTTTACCAAAAAGGGAATCAGTGATCTATAAAGAGATTAAATGATTTGTCTTCAGTCACAAAGTAAATCAGAGCCATTGCCAACCAAAAAAACGAGCTCCTGAGCACCCTTTTCATTATAAACAAATATTACTCAATAAGTGGGAATCCATTGCTTTTATTATAGAATGTTTACTGTAGTGTAGACTAAATTATTGTATCCATCCTTCAGCACGCCTGTCTAGCTGCAGAGTCCCACATGCACGGGAAGTTCCAAGAGAGTGTGCAGCAGTATGCTGTTCCTGTTCGTGCTTTAGCCCAGAGGGTAGTAAGTTACTCTAAAGTCACTTACAACAAAACCACTGCCAACCAGGATAAGAGAAAAGTCTCTTTGAAACAGCGGAGTTTTCTGGATAGGTGAGTTTTGGGTTTTTGCCCATTAAGCACCAAAATCCCCCATCTAGGATGGCAGTCTTTCTAAAATATATTATTTCCCTGCTTTCTTAATAGAATGTGCGGGATGTAGCATAAACTTTCTTTAATGACCTCAAGTAAACATTTTAAACATAATTTGTTATGTTGTGATGTAAACAGGGTGGGACTTGTTGAGGCACGGACAGCTGTTGCCCTGTTATTTGTTTGGAGTTTTTGTGTCTGTCAGGTTATCTTAGTTTTCCTGTTCTTTTGCTTTCTCCTGGTCGGCTCTCAACAGTTCCTACTGCTGTTGGTATCCATGTGCCTGCCTCAGATGCCCTTTCTATATTTTTCTCTACTGTGGATGTAGGAGCTCCTTGTTAGAGTGGAATAGAAAAGAGTCCATAGGTAATAAATAAGAGCCTGAAGAAGTTTCTTATGAATAAATTGTTTTAGCCTTAACTCATGAATTTACAGTGGATTCTTATCCTTGAATTCTGGATAAACGAAGCATAAATTTTACAGGCCTACATGCATCTTTATCTATGTTCAGTGAGTGACACTGGTTTTCACATTATGTGTCATTGTCCTTTAAGGGGTTTTGTAGAGCTTTGGAGAGTTAGGGAAAGGCCCAGTGTTCTGGATTGCCCCTTCGATCCTGATGATTCTGTGAGTACCCTTCCGACTGGGAGAACCTTCGGGAAGAAGAGCTCTCTGGACTAAGGACACCCACTGGACAGTTGTGCAGTGAGTGGTCTTTCTAGCACTGGAGGCAGCAGCAACCAGACTGCTCAGATGGGGCAGTTAGGTGGGGGTGGAGCCTAGTGAAAGGTACACGGGCTTTGGAGGCAAGTGGGTTCAGATCTGGGCTTCATTGTTAGTGTGTATGACCTCAGGCCGGTGTTCTAACATAGCACACCCTGCTGGCTGCTGCCCAGCACCAGCTCTTTGGCCTTCTTTGCTGGTGCAGCATGGCATGCCTTTCATGAGTCTGAACAAACTGATCCTGGCCCAGTGGGACTAGAGATGGCTGCCGTGCGCCTTGTAGAGTAAGTGTACAATATCTCGCATTTTGACACATGGACACACTGCCAGACTTCCTTTTCGGACAGACCCTGTGCCGTTCACTCCCATTCTCAGGGCTCATTTCTTAGTCAGGGACTTTGGTTTATTGCTGTGTCCGTAGCTGTTAGCACAGGGCCTGGAGCAATTTACTGAGCAAATACGGGAATTTAGAACTCTTGACTTTGGTAGGTGTGTGGGAGCCAGAAGAGGGTCTCTACCTCCTTTGTCTTTGCAGTAGGAATGAGGACTCTGCCACCTTAGGGTTCTTCCAAAACAGAGGTTTGGATGTTGGGCAGCAGAACAAGCAGTGCCAACCAGAGCCCCTCATTCATCTCCAGTCTCGCCTCTCCATCCTCTCTCCACAGAGTCAGGGCAGTGTTTCTAAGATGTATGTGCTTTAGAGCCTTGACCAGTATCTCCTTTCCCCGGGGGTGAAGTCCAGATACAAGTGGGTGGCAGGCCCCTTCACTGTCTGGCCCTGGTGCAACCCCATCTCCTCGCTCTTCCCTTCAATCGGGGTTCTAGCCATACTGAGAGTTGGTGGGGTTTTTTTTCCCCTGTGCTTGTCCTCAAGCATTTATAATAAAATACACTTTTATAATATAAATAAAGTTGCAGGTTAAACTACTTAGTAGAACAGGTGTACGGTAAGCACCTTAGAAACATCCATTTACTGATAAAAAAGATATCTTACAGGCTTTAAAAATCCTCATTCCTTGTGACTCTTGTGCCTCCCATCTGCCTCCCACTCATCATCTCGCTCTGGCTGCACCTGTGCCCCCTGCCTTTTGTCAGGCTCACTTCCACTGCCCTTACTCAGGACAGCCATCGTGGATCCTGGGTCTGGGCTGGGTCTCCCTGCTGAGCATCCCCCCTGCCATCCCTCTCCCCCAGCTGCAGCTCTGCCCCAGTGACTATTGTGGGTTGAATGTTTTCCTGCTGGAGTGTGAGTGCAGGGCCCTGTGTCTTGGTCATAGCTAGTGTCTGCTCTTGTGAATGACCTAAAGGTACTTGCTAAAGGAGTAAACCAGATTCATGTTTAAACAAGATCACCTGGTATTGTTGAGGAGAACTGAGTATTATTAATGAATGGCAGCTACAAATGACATCCTGTTGAAGAAAAAAGGACCACCATGTGCTCTTACTTTGACTCAGCAGTTTC